AATGCATACAATTCATGGAATGATAAAGTTGAAAGATTGGAGGAACTTGACAGATGTATCAGGTGTTTAGGTAATCACAATGTAAAGGATTGTTATGCCAAATTAAACTTCTGTTATCAATGTCACAAAGGAAGACACCATATAGTCATTTGTAAAGGTCTATATGATAATGTTGATAATAATGATAATGTTGACAATCCTGACACAACAGTAGCTAATGTAAAAATTGCTGCTAATGTAATAATGATGGTTTTGGTGAAGTAGCCTTACCTGTGTTACAGGTAAAAATTGATGATAAAAGGCATAAATCAAAAAATGTAAATGCATTATTGGACCAGGGATCCCAGCGTACTTTCATAAAACGTAAATGTCTTGATGGTATGAAAGTACAGATGGGAGATCCCACAACTTTAAAATTATCTGGTTTTCTCTCGGATAAAAGGGCTCAATTGTATGACACTGTTTATGTAACTGTCAGGTTGGGCAATGAGAAAAAACGTATTAATGCAGTAATTGTAGATAGACTTCCAGAGAAAATATCTACAGTAGGGCTTAGCAAAGCTACAGAAAGACTTTCACATAATGTAAATTTAGCACCTTCTGGTGTAAGTGATGATTCTGTAGGCCCAATAAATATTTTGATAGGTAGTGACTATTATGCCTCCTTTGTAAAGGGTATGGTAAAGAAATGTCGTGTCACCCTTTTGAAGACTGCAGGAGGCTATGTAATGTATGGTAGGATTCCTCGTAATAATAATTCATGACTAGAGGAAACTACAAATACCATAACTGTGTGTCTTACTCATGAAATCGTACCCCAGTATAATTCTTCCATAGAGGATGTTGAGCCAGTGCATAAATTGTGGGAATTAGACAGCATTGAAATAAATGTAAATGAAGAAAGTCCTGACGATTCTTTTACTCAAGAACAATACCTGAGAGATGTAAAATTTAAATCTGGACAATACTGGGTATGTGGAAAATTGCATTTATCTGAATGTATCATTATGTACATAACAGTAAATATGCACAGATAATTATTATTTATCAGTTAGACAAGTAGGAATTTGGGACACTTAGGTCGCAAAAAATGTCCCCCTTCGATACCTACCACTGTCATATCCACAAGTTGCTCTGGACCTATTAATTAAATGAAATATACATACACCAGGAATGCTGGTAAATATATAAATTTGTGGACTGTATATTAAAAATAATAAATGGTTATAGATACATAGATACAACAGAAGGAGAACATCTTAAAAATCACTCACCAATTTAAGATGTATCATACTCAGAAAACCTCTGTCTATACATGAAAATAACAACTGGCCAGAGTTATAACATAACAGACTTATCTGAGGTTCCTGGAGCTGTCTTGTCTAGTCGCCTGATATCTCAAGTTATGCAGGAATGCACATCCAACAATTTCGCCTCCTATTTGAGAGGTGTCAGCTCGATTTTAACCTCTAGAGCACGAAAAATTCTTCCCATTATTCACAACGTGTTATTCAATTCATACAAAATGGCGACTGACCTCCCCAACCGCAGGTTTCACATTTTCGATAACATACTTCTTTTAAAAATACAATATAGGGCATCTATTTACCTATAAATTACCGTATTTCCGGAAAATATGCACAGTATTTTCCACAGGGTACGACTTCCGTGGAGACTGAACCATTCAGAATTACCCACTAATTACCGAATGGCATATGGACAGTTAAAGGCTCAGCTCCGCGAACTGAGTAAGACACCAGAATTGTTAACTGCCTATAATTAATAAATTTATAGAAGAGGTACCTCCTGAGCAAACCAAAATTTATGGTCACTATTTGCCACATCACGGAGTGAAGAAGGATTCTAAGACCACTCCTTTGAGGATTGTGTTTAATTGTAGTGCCAGGAGCAACAAAAATGTATCTAGTTTAAATGACTGTTTGATGACAGGTCCGTCGTTGACGGAAAAATTAGGAGATATCTTATTAAATTTTAGAGTGAAGCATTATGCCTTTACGGCTGACATAAGTAAAGCTTTCCTAAGACCGGGATTGTACCCGCTTGTTATGGCCTGTGAATCCTATTGACCCACTTAGCCCTCTGAAAACCTATCGCTTTAGGAGCGTATTATTTGGTGCTACATCCAGTCCAGTCATACTTCAAGTGACGATAAATGCACACCTTAAAAGTATGGAAAGTCCATACGTATGGAAAGTCCATAAGGACGGCAAAGTGTAAAAAGGGTGATTAAATCTTGTGTAATATGTCACTGTGTGGATGCCAGATCCTATATGCACCCAGGTCCTCCACCATTGCCAAATGAGCAATTCGAGTCGTTTAGCAACTAACTCCGCCCGGCCGCAGTGTGGAAAATACTGTATATTTTTTCCAGAAATACAGTAGTTCTATGTAAATAGATGGCCATACTGTATTTAATAATATTTATGTCATAGAAAATGGAAAGCCTGCATCTGCACAGAAGACAGTCACCATTGTTTGTTTGAATTGAGTAACAGACATTAAATATAATGTGAAGAATTTTCGTGCTCTAGAGGTTAAAATTGGGTTGAAACTTCTCAAATAGGAGGCGAAATTGTTGGATGTGCATTCCTGCATAACTTGAGATATCAGGCGACAGGACAGGACAACTCCAGGAACCTCAGATAAGCTGTCTAATTTATGTTTAAATTCTGGCCAGTAAATTTTTCATAAATGTAGGCGAAAGGGGGGGTCCTGTACATGACACATTAGTCTCCAGTCAAATTGTTGAGTGTTACGATTTTAAGATATTCTCCTTCTGTTATGTATATGTGTTTATATATAATAATTTTTTAATTTAATATACAGTCCACAAATTTATATATTTACCAGCATTCCTGGTGATGTTTATTTCCTTTATAATTAATAGGTCCAGAGCAACTTGTGGATATGACAGTGATAGGTATCGAAGGGGGACATTTTTTGCGACCTAGGTGTCCCAAATTCCTACTTGTCTAACTGATAAATAATAATTATCTTTGTTCATTTACTGTTATGTAAATAATGATACATCCAAGTAAATGCAATTTTCCACAATATATATATATATATATATATATATATATATATATATATATATATATATATATATATATATGTCGTGCCGAATAGGCAGAACTTGCGATCTTGGCTTAAATAGCAACGTTCATCTTGCCATATAGGACAAGTGAAAATTTGTGTATGCAATAATTTCGCCGAAATCATTCTGAGCCTAAACGAAAAAAATATATTTGATTGCGTTTGTTTATTACTAAATTATTGTAAACGTATTTAAAATATATTTAGTTGAGTTAGGCTAAAATAAAATTGTTCTTGTTTATAATAAGGTTAGGTAAGTTTTCTAAGATTCTTTTGGTGCAAAATTAAAATTTTTTACATTAACATTAATGAAAAAAAATATATCTTTAAAACGTATAAGAGAAAATTTTAGAAAGGACTTAATTTTAAATGAGTTCTTGCTAATTTGACCAGTTTTACATATTCGGCACGACATATATATATATATATATATATATATATATAATATATATATATATATATATATATATATATATATATATATATATATACTAATAGGTATATTTTAATACACAGTATGGTACACAATATTTAAAAGATACAGTATTGGTACAAGGATGGCACATACAGAACATGAGGCCCAAGGGACACATTTCAAGCACACACTGCTACATGTTTACCACAAATTACAATATAAAACTCTCATCCAGCTCCTATATATATATATATATATATATATATATATATATATATATATTATATATATATATATATATATATATATATATATATATATATATATATATATATATATATATATATATATAAACAGCCACTGTGAAAAAAAAATAGAAAATTCCAATCACTTTCGTGACTTTTCACATTATCAAGGAATTCCTTGATAATGTGAAAATTAGCGAAAGAGCTTGGAATTTCACTATTTTTCACAGTGGATGTTCTGCATATTGTGATATCACCTGTTAACTGTGATCTTATTGCATATATATATATGTCGTGCCGAATACGTAAAACTGGCCAATTAGCAAGAACTCACTTTTAACTAAATCCTTTCTAAAATTTTCTCTTACACGTTTAAAGATATATTTTTTTTCATTTATGTTAATGTAAAAATTAATATTTTTGTACCAAAAGTACCTTAGAAAACTTTCCTAACCTTTTGATAAAAAGAGCAATTGAATTTAGCCGAATGCAACTAAATATATTTTAGATAACTTTACAATAATTTAATAATAAATAAACACAATGAAATATATTTTTCTCGATAGGTTCAGAATGACTTTTGAGAAATTTTTGAATACACAAATTTTCGCATGCCTTATTCGGCTAGAAGAGCGTTGCTATTTAAGCCAAAATCGCAAGTTTTACCTATTCGGCATGACATTATATATATATATATATATATATATATATATATATATATATATATATATATATATATATATATATATATATATATATATATATATATATAAGTGTATACATACATATAAGTTGCTTGCACTTTTAATTTATACTAAGTATGTGACTAAAAAAATGGAAAAAAATAGAAGTGTTCTTCATAATGACAGTGTATGAATTTCTATGAAATACATTAACATGATGGGACGGAATTTTAGTATTGGGAAAACTGGCGGCAACACTTCTGCTGTGACTGAGAAGTGTGTACGACCAAGCTGGATGGGTTAGTATGTCATGCATTCACTTTTCAACGCACTCTATTCACTATTTACTTTTATACTTGATTTTGCATTTAATAGACCACGATTCCGTAGTTTATTATTCTATCAATTAAAAGAAATGTGAGGCAGTGTGGGGGGATGTCAAAGTAGAAGCAATGTTCTTAAAGAACAATTGGCAGCTGTGGGTTGGATGGGACCAGTAAGACGGGTGAAGCTCAGGTGTTTGTTAGTACACTTCCGGAGGTAATACAAGGTGGTGTCACGCAAGGTGGGAGTGTTTACTCTGTTCTATGTGAGTGTTTTTTACTGTTTGGTGCTTGAGTTTAATTATTATAGTCATATTTGTAATGAACGATGTATGTGAAACATGTCTTGTGACTTATTTAATCTATTTAAACGTCACTGTGCACGTGCAACCCACAACTTCATGTACGATATTAAAGCGGTATTATAAGAAATTTTAGATTTGTAATTCATTAGATGAATTATTTACAATTATGATAGTAAGTAGCCTTCAGGAGGCTATATATAAGAACTTATGTTATCTTGCCATACAGCATCACATTATCTTAAAATTTCTCACCTGTGAGTTGATCACCTTAATAAGGGACTCTGTTGTGTTGACAATAGGCCTCTCCTCCCAGAGTTATAAGTGGGAAGATGTGATAAATATGATGCCACACTGGTAGACAGGTATTCAGTACGATAGATATGATGACAAACCAGTAGACAGGTGCCTTGATGCCAAGGAAGAACTTTTGATTCAAAATATTTTAGTTACCGTTTCCTTTCTCGGACCAATACTGACTACCTCCGATTCCCCAGGTACTGTTTGGTCTATACGGTTTTAGCGTTTTCAACTAAATATAATAATAAAGCTGGACAGGCGATCCCATTTAACAACAACAACAACAAAAATGAAATGCTCGTCACTGCTCTGGAGAATCGTGAATTTTTTTTTAAATTTAAACACTGACAGATTTTCAACAATACATCTTGCAATGTATGGATACCATTGCATTTGTTGCTGCTGAGCAACAACAATAACTGCATTAAAAATATTTCAGTTTATTACTAGGCGAAAACATACCTCCGTATATTAAGTATATATATATATATATATATATATATATATATAATATGGTATTAATATTACCCTTAGGATGAGGTAAATAAGATTTTAATCACATGTTATTATAAAGTATATATTGTTATTTTTTGTGTTTAGTTCAACATGTTTATAACTATTACGTAAATCACTAGTAAAATCACAGATGGTGATTCAATCTTTCGTTTATATTTCAAGATATTTTCATATATCACTGAATATCTTCGTGTATCCCAGAATACATTTTGATACATCACTGATTAATTATATCTTCATGTATCCTGATTCTATCTTGGTGTGTCTGAATATGTTTGTGTAATCCTAAATCTGCATGCATATTTTTTTCTGAATATATAAATCTTGGTCACCAGAGAGAATTTATATTCTATATCTGAGTTTGTAACATAATTTTGCATTATTTATGCTCATGAAGTTAGTGTGTATCATGTGAAGATTAGTTTACATTTACAATAGAAATTTTGAAGTTCCTGCAAATATTATTTTGTCTTGCATGTGTCTGGAACCAGTATAGTTTAGATGGCCTTGGAGGGCTGGGAAGAAGTTTGCTCATAGCACTAATATGTATGTATTATTATTATTATTATTATAATCAAGGAAAGTTTATCACCTCTGTCTTCACCTAGTCTGTTCAATATACAACCTTTACGTTAAGGAAGTTAATTCTTTTACATTTTCTGGCTATTTTAGCGTTGAGTTGGCTTTGTGCCTCCTAATTTTATTTAAATCTTTCAAATGAATTCATATCAGCAATATTACTGTCAGTTCAACGAGTCATCATGTCATTGCCACCTCTTGTGCTGGCATTTGTTCTCGGGTCATGGAAAACTGGTCTTTATCTACATTTGCGTGGCTTATGACTCGGTGGAAACTCATCACGTGCACCTATCTCTCAAGGCCACGGCTCCTTACCTGGAGTCTTTATGCCATCCAGATGTTGCTGCAAACACAGTTACCCAGCTGAGATCAACATTACCTTGTCGACTATCGCCTAGGAAAGGAAGATGCTTGGTATATCCGGTTTGCGCCATATGGTTTATAGCGAGATTTGTCATCCACCTTCTTAGGGATATAATTTAAGTTTATTTCAATTATTTTCATTGTCACAACAAAGAGAAGTTACCAGTAACGTAGAATGTATTTAGAACAGCTGCGAGCTTCATCCTTGGCTTTCACCTGCTGGATAAATAAAACATTTATCTCAATACACTGTGAATTACTTTCGACTTTCGCAGTGTTCGTCCGTTTGTTGTGAATTGCACCTCATGCCTGGTGTCACTTTCTCAACTCAGACAATTCACCGTTACTCTTCACTTAGCATCAGTTAAGTCATACAGGGTCCCATTGTTTTATGCTAGAGAGGAACTTCGTGTTAAAAGCAGTCACCATTCATCATTTGAAAGGTCGAGTCTTTAACCCATGGCTTTTTGACTCTACATTTGCATCAGACGTTGTTTTTAATGACTTACAAATCCAGCTCAGTTATTGGTTAATCATAGATATTCATCATCGTTTCGCGAAAGTCTGCTTAATCACTGGTACCCAGCACCCGTATGAAGGCGGATTATTAATGACTAAGCAGGTCCTCATTTTCATTGATGGACAAAATATCCTCTCCACCGGATACAAAAGCGAACTGTTGCCAGCAGTGGAGAAAAGAAACAGGTACTACGCAAGTTTTGAATGTGACAGTATTTTGCTCCATGAAGAGCTTTATTAAGTCGTTAACATTTCCTCTACACAGAGTGAAAAGTAGTCACAAGAAAACCTTGTCCTACACCTGTATGTTTAGCTCCCCCCTTCCCAATCACCTCTCTCAAGGCCAGGGTGTGGTCGAGACAGAATTACAAATGATCACGATTCAGTTTGTACAGTGTTACTGGCGAGAGCGAGAGCAGAATGCCAAGTTGATCTGGCAAGTGTGCCTCTGTTTTAGCTGGTCACACAACCGGATTTCAGATTCCTGTTAAAGTTTTTAGAAATTGATGACATTCACTTTCAGCAAAGTATACAGAAAGTGAAGAGAAATTACAGAATGTCGGTGTACTCTGACCTATAAGAAATAGCGAGGAATAGCTAATCATCGACTCATACACTGTGAGACACACAAGTTACTACTATACAACACGTATTAATTATTTGTATAGGTACGTGAAGAGCCAAGCCCGTGTTGTGCAAGTGTGAAGGAAGCTCGATCCTCTGTCCACTAATAGAGAGACAGAAACCTTCCTCCGGCTGCCCAGCTTCCTTCTACGTATATTAAGAAAGTTATCAAGAACTGCTGAATCTGCTACCTCTCAAAAGGAGGTTTTCCTTCTAGACATCAATAAAAGTGAGAACCCAGTGTTATCAGCTAGTCTGCGTCTCGTGTGTATCATGTGTGGTACTGAGCCCATTATTTTTTTACAGTCCGTCCTTTTTTAAATGTTTACGCCATGTAAGTTTTTTCTCTGCATGATATGCCTTTTTGTCTAATTTCCTTTCTTCCTGATTCTAGACATTCGTTACAGGCTCATCAGTCTTATTGTTTTCTGGTAGAGGTTGCTGTATAGCCCTTGTGGTTTAGCGCTTGTTTTTGATTATAATATAATCCGGTAGAGGTTATCCCTAATAATAATAATAATAATAATAATAATTTTATTTTTAGGATTTGGTTAGTATTACAGTTCATAACAAATAATTCCAACAATAATACCAATGACAATTGTGTTGCATTTGCATTAAAACAAAAACAAACCCAGTTCAAGGTTTGAATCCCCAATTTTTTTAGAAAATGTTAAAGGTGTTTTTCTTTCAAGGGAGATAAATCGACTTTGTATATATTGGGAAGAACAGCAATATATATATGAACTTGGAGGGATGAAAATCTCAGTATTTACATACATACATAGAGATTGTTTCAATCCTATGTTAGGATTAAAGATTTTTTGACTGGTGGTGAGCAGGTCAAGTGCAGTCTAATGTCTCTCTGTAGTTGATAGTTTTTAAACTATCAACTAACTCTCACCTTCCGTGGATCAAACCTGATTACTTGCCATTACCTAGATGCTATATCACCCTCACTGGTTTAACCCATTTCCCATAAATATAAATGTAATAAAGATATATGAATTATGTTAAGGTAATATAAAATAATAAAATTGAGCTTATTACAAAAAAAAATTGGGATTAATTTGAAATAAGGTAATTTGTAACATGTATGATCTGCTGGTATTAAATCTGAAATACTGTTGTTCATCTTTTAAGTCGTTTTTTTTTTTTTTTTTTTTTTTTTATATATTTTATTTAAAACATGACATTACAAAAATATAATATGTAAAACTCATTTAAGTCTATAAATTAACACAATCCTCCCTACAGCTAATATTACACCACACTTACAACTCCGTGTGGGTACACCCCCCCCCCTCCCTGCTCCCTCATCCTATCACTTACCCAAACCATGTTGGAGCTACTCAACAGAATTACATGATATGAACAACACTTTTATATACACATCCTCGAAATGGTAACTTAATAATCGACTACAGACCATGCAATGCATTGCACTGAACATATTATACAGACATATTACCCCCCCCCCCAGTGGTTACCAAACCACCCACTAAATTTTCAACCTAACACACTATAAACAATGAATGTTGCCTAATCTAAAGTCACACAGCAATGATCAAAACATTAAATTTATGTAATTGTCCTAATGGTTCAGTTACATAATATGTATTACACAAACAATGGTGAATAAAAAAAGTCAAAAAAGACATAAAAAAATACTACAAAACCATAAGAATTTAAACTTAGTCTCAAAATCCAACACATGTAAGCCTCTACACATTTAAACTGCAATTCCAGTGTTAAGCAATAACACAGCTTCAACTATGACATTCAAGCTCTTAACAGCTTATATGGACATTACAGTGCTATTGACAACAGTACAATACAAAATAAAATATAACCATGACATAAGTAACACAAAGACTGTGCCTAGCACCCCAACCTAACCACCAAAAACCTTAAAACCACTGTTGCCCAACTTATTTACACTATCTGACGTGCATTAACCTCTTTACTCTCAAAACAAAACTGAAAATTGCAGAACACCAGTGACGAACAATAATGCACAGACTTTAAAACAAACATAT